ACATCATTTTTGATGGAAAGTCAATTAAAAAAAATGATTCTTTGGAAAATGTAGATTGGCGCTACTACCACCAAATATTAGGCAATTTTCTCAGTCACAGGTCATACTCGCATCTGAGCGATAATCAGCAAATCCCGCAAATCTATTAAAAATTTGTTGAAAGCATTTTGTTAGGTAAGGGAACATTAATTGATCGTTGAAGACCATTCAGATTTTATATGACTCTGAGCCTTTGTATTAAGAGAACAAAGAGAGAGAGAAAGAGAGAGAGAGAGAGAGAGAGAGAGAGAGAGAGAGAAAGAGAGATGTAGTTTAAAGGCTTCTAAAGAACTATAAGCTTTCTTTCTGACAAATTCAGTAGAATTGTCATCCATCTGGCTATCGTTTTGTAGAGATTTTTTTTATCTCATTTTAAGAATTGAAATTTTTATGTCCTAAACTATATGTACATGTATATTAAGTATGACCGGACATATGAAATGCATAGGAGAGCTTAAGATAAACCGATAGTTTGTTCGATAAATTTAAGTATGTCGGTCTTTCCATCCGATATCTGTTTATCTTCTTCCTATCTTCTTGTTCGATAAAATTTTATGCATTGACTCAGGAATGAACACTATTGAAAATGGATTAGATCAGATCATCCCCAAGATCGCTTTTCATAAAATGACATATCTTAAAATATTCATCGAATGAAAAATTCACCAGATTTTTAATATTTGTCTGTCCGAAGAAAAAATAATAAGAAAATCCTTTCATCAAATTAAATGAATGTGGAAAATTGTATTATTAATACCCCTCTCGTTCAGCCTTTATCCGGCACCTAATACTAAAAAAACTACACATATAAGTGTACTGTACTAAGTTTGGACTAACCAGATCTGTAACTTGGTTTCTTTCCATTTCGAAGGCCTTCCGTGAATAAAAGTAAGCCATCAAACTCTTTTTTTTAATACTTGTTGACTTGAGATACAATATTACTTAGGCGAGTAATGAAATCGGAAATGAATGGTCAGCCTTTACATTGCAAAAAGGTAGAGGTAAAGTTTTTCCTACTTTTTGATAAAGAATTGCTTTAGGGAAGGAAAGACTGTTAATGATTAGTATTCAATCGCCGATCTTATGCGAGTGCATTGCATTAGTTAAAAAACTGTTCTAATAAACTTTGAAAAAATTCCTTCTTTTTTGCAACTTTTATGTAGAGGTTTAAATAAACAAAACATTTTTTTAGTAAAACTTGTGTATTTATCAAAAAACATTAAATTTATTCGAAAAGTGGTTGTTTCATCCTGCAAGGGCAACATATCGGGTGACATAATATTGTGGCAGCAACAACATCAGCTACCGTGGCGACGGCGGAAATGAACTATTTACCATTAACACCATTTAGTGCTTATGAGCGTCTTCGAGACGCGACGTCATCTTTAAGAAAATCACGTTGCCAGACTAGGCTCATTAACCTCTCAACGGTTCAATGAATGCGTAAAGTTATTGCTTTTAGTGTAAAATGCATTCACAAAATTTTCACGGGACGCTTTTAGTTTTCGCAAAAACGATCGCTTGGTGTCATCATTGGCATCATCGGTCCGTCCCTATTCCCTATTCCTTTGATGATGCGCATGAAGATCAACGAGACAGTTGTGGTTAACGGGGAGCACTATGGATAGACGCATTTTTATGGTTGGCATTGGAACATGAAAAGGTTCAATTAGAAAATCTGACCTGTTGATCAACTGTTTTTGTTTTGTGTAATTTAAAGTTTCTTGTATGTAAAAACCCATATGTTCTGTATATAATGAATCTGAATTATAAATGAGAAAAACTTCTGACTTTCTGTCTATCCACATATCTCTTTCTAGGAATAGACAAAAAAAAAAAAAAATTCGCAGAGTAATTGACAAAATCTCTTACGGACCAGAAACAAGTACCAACTTTTCAGGAATCGATAAATAAATCAATAAAGATTGATTGACAAAATCTTTTACGGATTCGGGGCATTGGAAATGGAACCTTAACAAATTTCTAAATTCCCATCATACATAGATTGTAGCTTTTGTTACATTCCTTTAAAATTATTTTTGTTTAAAAATTTTCTTGAAATTCTAAAAAACGCGTCTCGAAACTTTTCATTTCTGGAATCTAAGTAATTGAAGCAAAAGTACAACTTTTCGTTTCATTGTGCCATGACCTTGTACAACATTGAAAATAAACTCAAGTAAATATTGTTTTCGATTAGCGTAGACCTACATATTTATCTATCTATTTATATATATATATATATATATAGAATTGTATATAATTAACCTTGAAAAACCGGAATGTACAAAATACAACACTCAGTAGTGATTGAATAAAGTCTAAATTGAATTTTTGAACAACAAAAACAATAACTGAAGAAATAGAGAAATTTTTAGTCACCAAATAAACGAAAGCAAAACTAAAAACTCGCATTAATATTATAAAGCAGCTTAACCCGCATTAAGAGAAAGCAAAAAAAAAATTGAGGAAAATTCATAACAAATACATGTAGATACAAGCACATATATCTGCTTATATACAAGCAGACAAATAAATACATCCGACTCATAGTCGTAAAGGTATATAAATGTTTAGATAATTGAAAATGAGAAAAGATTTGAAATTCTGTGGAAAAAATTAAATGTGAAATTGTGAAAGTATCTTAGGTAGCCGAAACACGTAAATGCATAGAAACGTACACACACGCACGCACGCACGCACGCACGCACGCACACACACATATATTTACACTAAATGCAACAATATACGTATACAACTAATACTACCTAAATAAGCACAAAAGGATATTGTTGTGCATATCTGCTCTTTCGTTCGATCTTGTTGTTGTTGCTGTATCTCTCAACTTATATTCGATATTTTCCAGACACTTGCAATCCTGCACAGATGCCTACGCTGTGATATCTTTTATGAAAACTCTATGTATGCATGTATACTAGGCTTGTGTTTGTGTGTGTGTGTGTGCCTGTGTGCGTATCGGAAAAGTTTGACGATTTCTTTTCTTTCTCTCTCTCTCTCTCTCTTTGGCTCATTGCACAGCTATAGCAAGCATAATACAAAAATTTTCGGTGCATATGCGTGCATTTATATTGAGCACAATAAACAAGTTTTCCCCGGCAGCTGTGCGCAGGCGTAACCTTCTCTCGTTACAGTTTATTTGTTGTTGCAATTTGGAAAATTGAGCAAAAGATAAACGGAAAGAATTGTTTTTTTTTTTTCTGTTTGTGTGAAAAATTTTCTGCTTTTATTTTTCGCTTTTATACTTTTGCTGCATTTGATAAACATCCTTTTCATAGCAATAAGTAAGAAAGCTATACTAATATTTCGATACCTTACGAATTTCAAATACCCTTAACCTAAAGTAAATATATATTAAGTTATAGGCGTTTCTGCAGGCATTCGTTCAGAAATTTGTAAGTTATCGATAACATATTGGTCTTGTTTTTGAACCCTAACCTTTCTTGGGAGTATATATATAATTATATACATATTTATAATATTATTATATTGATTAAAAATATTGTATTTTTATTATTTATATTTTTATTTTAGAATTTTAGAACTCTTCGCCCAATCTTTTTGAGAATGAAGCGAAACTTACAACATATGGATGAATCAGGTGTTCGGACCAATTTTCAACCGCAATAGTTCCGAGGAACACTTTAGACTTTCTATACGCATTAAGGCATAATAATGATCATAATCGTGCTTGTCGTGTTACAAACGAAATAACAAAGTAAATATAACTTGTATACATCGCTGTAATAATGTCGGTACACAATAAGTGAGAGTGAGTGGTTAAAATATATTTGTCGTTTTTATGTATAAGCTAAGATTGCTTTTGATACGCCTGCAGCTAGTGCAGAAATACTTCTAGTGTAGTTAGGACGCTTTTTCCTCAAATTCGAACTTAAATAATAAAAAAAAAAAAATAATTTAAAAAAAAAAAACTAAAAAGCCAATACTTTTTTATATTTTATATCCTAAGCTTTAAAGTTTATAAAGCTTTAAAGCTTTATTGAAATGAAAAGCTTTTTAAAGAAATTACATTTTATGATAATTTTTGGCAAAAAATTTTTATTACAAAAAATTTTTTAAAAAAAAAATTAACAAATTCTTAGAAGTATACTGCACTAAATAATTTCTAGTTTTAATTTAAGATACTTTTTTAAACTATTTTTATTATTTTTTTCAGGTGCTTTTTTTTGCGTGGCATTGTAACCGGATTTTTTTGGCGTTTAAGGAGCTTTTTGTTTTGTTTTACAATTTTTTTCGTGATATCAATTAATATATTTTTTCTTTCTTTCTTTTCTAGATCTTATCTGAAAAGGTGCTCCGAACAATTTCACTTAGTAAGGTAAATACATAACGCGACGCCAAAAAAAAAAAAAAAAAAAAAAAAAAAAAAAAAAAAAAAAAAAAAAAACTACTAATTAATCATCGAGTTTTATATAATCATCAAATATCATCACCAACTCCTCAAACAACATCGTTCGCAAAAGGTTAAGGGATGCTTTTATCAAAAATTCACATAACAACGAAAAAACTTATTAAGCTTTAAAGTGTTACAAAATTGTTTTTTTTTTTTTTTGTTTATTTTGTTTTTTCTGTTTAAACACTTTTAATTTGAATTGTGTATATGAAAAAAAAAAAAAAAAACAAACAAAAAAACACCACACAAATCGTTCTCATACTCTCACCGTGATTAATGCATAGCTGCCAAGTGCCATCAAATCGCCGTGATTAACATTTTTACTAAAATCTATTTAAACACTGAAAACTGAAACGTGAAAAACTATTAAACTCATAACAACAAAATGCAAAAGTTCAGCAACCCAAATTTATTGCAATGTTTAAAAAAGATTTGTTTTTTTAAAGTGTTAACCATCTCTTAAGATTTTGGCCCCTAATGCTATTTTATTATAAAAAAAGATTTCAATCATTAAATCCCGTCATCACAAATCATGGCAAATATCAATTTGCAATATAAAAATGCTTTGCTTGGTCGGTTTACGGTTTACTTATCACACTTCCGTACATATCCTTGTTACTTATATGTATGACATACAGGACATACATAAGTTGGTATTATTTGTGATATTAACAGGCGTACTTTGTCGTTGTGCCCGGCCACTCAGTCATAGACGGAAATCGTTTGTTTTCTTGTCATAACAGTTATGATTTTCGATTAAATTTCATATTCTAAACAAACTTTATAAGGAAAGAAGTTGTTGAAGTCACGAGAAACACAAAGTGTCACAATGCGGCTAATTATCGTTTAAGCGATGAGTATTGGATCTATCGTCGATGGAGATTGCACTTCACCAGTAACCTTTGTCCGATAACATTTTATCAGGAAATCCGAAAAGGACTGATGGACGAGTCATGATATCTCGTTAAATATAGTTAACTGGTTGAAAGCCATATTCTGGTCTTGTGATCGGTCGCTAATCATAATAGGAAACTATATGTTTTGCTTATGACTTTGGATATTTCGAAAACTCTTCCAATATAAAACAAGATTTTTTTCTTTCCAAAATAAAATAAGCTACTTAAGTCATGGAAAACATAAACAAAAATATGTTTATTCACTGGTGAGAATATAATTCTTACTCGTCACTCTCTTCACAAAAGGATAAAATTTTAATGAAATTTCGCTTCGAGAGGCAAGACTCAAATAACTTACATAATTTCAATCAAGCCATTAATTCAAAGCCTATTTATTGCCCGGCTTTCTTACCTTCTATTACGGACATTATATTAGCATCGAGTGTAAAAACTGTCATAGATTGATAATGAGAGAATTTTAAGATCCTCCTCGTATTCCCCCCAAATATCAAAACTCTAATATTCTGTTTTTTTTTTTTTAGGAAATATTCGTGATTTAAAATTAATTTTTTTTTTCTATGGAATAAAATATAAAATAATTGACTGATTGAGAAATAAATTGATATGATTGTTTTAATATTTTTCAGTTTTAATAAAAAAAAATTTTACCAATTCTTACATCAAGAGTTATATATAATTACTGCTATTTTAGAAATAAATTTTTTTAAAAAAACTAAACAAAAAAAAAAAGAAAAAATGAATTCATTTTTTTATTAACTATTTTAAAATATCTTTAGTGCATGCTCTAAATTGTTTAGTAATGCTTGAGCGCCAAGAACTAACCTTACATTTTGAATAATACAATGTATAAAATGTATATAGTTTAGTGTAATGACTAATAAACGATAACGTGAACAATTGAAATATAAATATGTAAACGTCATCTTACGATTGTTTTAATAAATTATTTATTTGTTTTTTCTTCTTTATTTCATTTTTCAGATCTTAGTCGTAAATTGCCATCTCAAGTGCACAAAGAGAATACGGCTCCTCCTAGTAATGCAATGCAGCAACTTATACAGACGGCCAATACTCGTTCCATTTTAAATACTCATAAGCGTAGTTCGTTGAATGGTCGCGAAAGTTTAGGCAGCCTTAATAAACCTAAGCGTTTATCGATGTCCGATGCCACGGGCGAATTGTATGAACTCTATCGAACGAACGGGATTGCAAAAGCGCCTAAAAGCAATGAAGAGCAAACTATAAATAATTTGTGTAACAAATTTAGTCAAATATCACCCACGTCAGCCGAAACTCACGAGCCATATACAGTAGCGGCTATTGCTTTGAATAGTGCGGCCTCTCAATCGTCACCAAAAAACTTGAAAGGTATTGAAATGCCATTGCCTCCGATTGCTAACAGCAGTAGCAATATTAATTTGGCATTTCACCCGCGCATTAAATATACGAGTAAATCATTGATCAACAATGATGGACAAAACCAAAAAGCTTCGGCTACCCATGTGCCTGCAATGACCGCTATACCCACTTCGGTGGTAGTGGCTTCTGCTTTAGCAAATAGCGGTAATAATAATTCGTTGGACATTAAACCCGAAATACATCCTTCTACGGGCTTAATCATAACACCAGTGCCATCTGGTGGTGCGAGCTCGACGGTTATAAAACCGGTGCCGAGTGCAAGCGAGGCAGTCGCTGCCCTTCAAAAGCTTCAGGAAGCAGCCGCTTATCGGGCAGTTTCCACTGGCATTTTGAGAAACTTTTACCCCACACCGCTTATAACGCCACGTGAAAATTTGAAATCCACGTCTAATACTCATGCAGACGAAAAAATCAGTAATCACGGAGACGAAGATGATGATGACGACGATGACGACGATGATTACGATGACGAAGGAGTTGATAGAGTTCATCCAACTAATGCTTTTGCGGATATCCATTTAATAGAAAAGAATTCCTCTGTTGATATGGATACAACGGACGCTGAGAATTTAACCGCAGACGATTCACAACAAGCTATAAACTTATCAACTGTTCAGGCACAAATGCAAGCTTTACACCATTTTGGAATCTCTCTAAATTTGGCTAATAATTTAAACGATGCCAGTGCTAATAGTTCTGATATAGCAATGGGATTGGGACCTGACGGTGAGCAAATGTATAAATGTCGTCATTGCGGCAAGAAATATCGTTGGAAGTCAACGTTAAGACGTCACGAGAATGTTGAATGCGGTAACAAAGAACCTTCACATCAGTGCCCTTATTGTCCATATAAAGCAAAGCAACGCGGAAATCTTGGAGTACATGTACGTAAACATCATGCCAATTTACCGCAATTGGCCAGTAAACGCCGTTCAAAGTATTCCACGAAATTAGAAACTAATCCCAGCGGCAGTGCTGGTGCGTCTGACGACTCGTCCAGTAGATTAATTATTGATTGTTCTAAATGAGTGTGGTGGGCGTACATTTTAGCTCAAAGACTACAACTGCTAAATAGATAGCAGTCGCAGGAATAAAGAAAAAAAAAACAAAGAGAACACCATAGAACTCCAACCAAAAAAAAAAAAACAAAACAAAAAAAAAAGATTCCAAGTGCCAGCTAGATGAACGTTATACGATTTCATTAAAAAAAAAAAAAAAAAACAGCAAAGAAAAAATTTTGGAAAGCAACATTTTCTATTTCAAAAATTATAAATTCTAGAACAATCCTAGATCGAAAAGTAGAAAAGAATCTCTAAACGTTGAAAGTGATTATTAATGTTATCAAAGTTTTTAAATTTAAGTATTTTTTATACTTTTTTCTCTTTTTTTTTTTTTTTTTTTTTTGTATGATAAAATTTTAAAAAAAAGTTGTCGATTTTGGATCAACTTTTTTTAGACCAAACCTACTAAGACTGATTATAGTACTGAGAAACAAAAAGAAGCAAAATGAGAAATTTTATAAACAGAATCCAAATATCAAATTTTTTTTAGAGCTTATTGTGGGAGCTATTACTTTCAATATCATATATATAATTATTGTTAAAGCAAATTAAATTTCGACTCCTTTACCGGAGTGCTCGCAGGCTAAAGAGCCAGCCCCTAATTGATTACGCCTTCATTGGAAAAACTTTTCAATTAAAAGGCATTCACTTCTAGAAACAGCTTTCATATAGAAAAAGCTTTCCGTGAACAGCTTTTTATTCGATGAAGCTTTTTATGCAGTCAACTTCTACTTGAAAACCTTTGTGCAACCCTTTATGCATACAAGCTTCTCTCGAAACCGTTTCTGTATAAGCAAGCCTTTCCTGGAAATCTCCTTAAATAAGGAATAGCTTCTTATATAAGGAAGCTTTTCTTATAAAGCTTTTTATATATCCCAGGTTTTGATGAAAACCTGCTTGCATTGCAGAGTTTTTCATAATGCAAAGTTTTGATGAAAGGTTTTGCATGATCAGGTTCTTATATAAGTCCGAGTAAGCAATTTTTATAATGCAAACTTTTGATGGAAAGCTTTGTGGAATTATCACGCCTTTCCCGAAAGATTTTTGTACAATTCCCGCGAAGCTTTTTATAGATACAGTTTTACTGGAAAGATCTCATAATCAAGCTTTTCCTGGAAAATTCTTTATATAAGCAATCTTTTCCAGAAAAACTTTGAATATAAATAAGCTTTTCCTTTTTATATGAGTAAAGTTATCGCGGAAAGATCATCAAAAATGCAAGCTTTTCTCGGAAAGCTTTTAATATAATCAACGTTTTCTCGGAAAGCTTTACATATAAACAAGCCTCCCCTGAAAAGTTTTATATACAATCAAGCTTTGCCTGAAATAAAAAGCGTTTTCATTTACTAAAGATTCTCTCGGAAATTTTTTTATTGGAAAAATTTTTGTCGAGAATTACTTCACGTCATATAGAATATGGAAGACATACTAAAAGTCTACATTATAGCTTTTCTTCTAACATAACATATGCTCATCGTGCTTTTGATTCTAATCAAATTTAAACATAATCAAAACTAATATTAAGTAAATTTTTGATTATCTTTACATTAATTTTTACTTTTACATGAATTATTCTCTTATTTACAAATTTTAAGTGCTTCAGTGCTATGCGTTAATAAACATACAAGAATACAAAACGAAATTATATATTATTGATAATTGTTTTAAAAAATATTTGTAAGAACGTTCTAAACAAATGATTCATTTTTATCATTTACTAAAAGCATTGTCATATACTTCTTAAAAATTTAAATGAAAATTATTTAATTAATTTTTTCATAAACATTGTCAAGCTCAGCAAAAACCATCTATCTAATTACGTATAAGAAGGCTCGGTCAGGAAAATATCAAAAGCATTGATAATATCGATGATGGTAAATTTTTCAAAAAAACAACAACAAATGACATTAACATTAGTTAAAAATGTTAACAAACTATATATATAGAAAGACACTTGTAAATTTCCTAATTGATATTTATAGACAACGGAAGCGGAAAAGTGATATTTTGCTCATTCACTATATAAGATTGCATTTCTAATAACGACGTAAAGGCGTAACATACATGGTCCGAACTGCACATCTATGTTAAGGGTCAAATACTATAGATCCATACGATTTCATAAATGACATTTATAGACAACGGGAACGAAAAAGTGATAAGAAGAAAAGTTCGCTTACTATATAAGATTGAGTTTCTAATCATAACGTAAATATGTACGTGATCGCAATTGCACATGTATGTTACGGTTATAGATCCATACTTCGTAAAAAAAGTGAAAAAAAGCAATTGCATCCACTTTCAATAATAATCAATATTTCAAACACTTCAACGTTCATTTTTCAGCAAACTTATGTCTATTTTTTGCAATCAATAACGAATGAAAACTTCAGTTGTTTTCTCTCACGGCATTTTATACTCAATAATTACATGCTAAAGGTTATATATTTTAAGAAAACTTTGTACTTTCTTTTTTCTCATAACTCAGCGTCCTATTCCTGAGAATAGCGGTAGCTCGATAAACTTAAGCAAGCAGCAAATCAGTCTTTGTCGCCAAAACAGGGTTTGCCTTCATGAGGGATCCTATATACATATATGGTACGGTCGGAAGAGTAGATCTATGTGGGTCATATTTCTTATGACTGGTTTGATAAGGACAAAGAAGCTTTCATTATAAATTTTTAAAAATTAGGTCCTCTTTTTATAAAAGTCGGGATCGAAAAAACAGGTCTACGTGGTCCCTATTCGGTAAGATTAACTTTAACTTAACTTTCGTTAAGCCATATTGATTTATTCACTTCACTCACTACTACTGATTTCATTCACAAGGGAGCATTAGCTCATCAATTCGTATTCCTCAATATCTAAAGGTGCAGTAATTGAGTTTGCATTCTGCTGGGAAATAGATTTAAACCCTTTATCGATCAGTGGTGAAATCATAAATTTCAACAAATTAAAAGGTGAAAAGAAAGTAGAAAATATATGAAGATATAACGTCAACAAAAATAAAGGACGCAAATAATGGTGAGGCGAACGAAAAAAAATGGAAAATTTCAAAATCACATTTCACGTATGGAAATTGCTCCTGGATCCTTAATTTATTTTCGTCTATCTTTGGGATATTCTGTCATGTTAACTGAGAAGAAATGCTCTTTTTGAAAACAAGGCTTCCTTATAATACCGAAGAGACTCAGTTGGAATAAATGGAAAATAAAGATAACGTGAGATTTGATTTTTAAAGGCATTAGATGGGATTCTTTTTAAAGCAGAAATTTTTTCGGGAAACGCCCTTTATTTTTGAACTTCCGATAGTATTTTAAAGGGCAGCGGTGAAGTTAGTGCTATTTTCCTTATGCGTAACAAGGCTCTTTTTCGAAAATCATAGCTGTGCGTTTAACAAGGATGATTTCTTTTCCATAGAACATGAAATAAAAACAAGCAAAATGAAGAAAATTTCCCGGTATTGTCTTTTAATGGTCTCCTCGTATCCTCGGTCTACTTTATACGTAACTAAAAACTCAACTGCTAGCGAATGCATTCTAGCGTGCAGTTATACTCCTCATCATCTTGCTTGAGATGATAAATTCAAAGTCGTTGCTTGTTATTATAAGCACACACACACACACCCAAACACACACACGCATGCGCGCGCGAACACGAACACATATACTATCACGATTCATGACGAAAGAAAATAATCAGGTAAACGTCCAGCATACACTTAAGTTCATTTCCTTTCGCAAAGACGGTAAGATAATTTTTCGCGATTTCTGTCTAATAATTAGAAATAAATGGTATTGGAAAATCACTCTCTCTATAAAATGGAGCGGACAGAGTTTACTACCAATTCCATTTTCTTAGGCAGCCTTATCTAAGCTATGCTGTAACTTTCTTTTTTGCTTAGGTCAAGAGCTATACTCGCTAACATTGTCCGCCACTTTATCATTTATATTATAACTTGAAATATTATTTGGCTCATTTTAAAGAACCCCGATTGTAAGGGGGAGAATTGTGATCTGAAAGATCTCACAAAAAGTTAAGCCGGGGAAGGGGAAGGGAAAGCTATTTTAATTCTCTGATTATGTTGAACTTTACTGTAGAACTCATAAATATTATTAGTTTCGATAAAGCTTTTGCTAAGATTAATCATAATCATCAGACCGCTGTCCGTTTATTGGTAGATGATAGAAATGATATTAAAGAATATTAATGAACTTTACCGACATAAGGGACTTGAAATGATCTGCCTACCGGTTTTATTTTCTTTCTTTTTTGGTGCAATATTTTTCTGCTTTTTAAAAAAAAATTTTTTTGAATTTGTTGGAATATCCATTTTGAAGACGACTTTCTTGTTGTAATGAAATTGATCAAAATATGAAGCAAGATACCATTTACGGCAAGATACGATCTACGATATTTGCGTTAAATGAATATTGCTTGACTTCAGCTCTTAGTGAGGGTTAGTAAAAACTATCCAGTAAAAATTGAATTCAATTCTTCCTCTTTATTTATTTATTATTAAAGAAAATTGCCAAGAAAGCCCATAAAGCAAGTTTCTTGCGTTAGAACTGTTTGACAATGTTTATGATGCCAACGAGTAGATCTAAATTTCGATTACTTACACTTATGCTTAAAGCATAAGAATCTCTATATACTTTAAAGAAAAAAGCGATCTTTTATTTTTAAAAGCATTTATTTAATTTAAACGATTTAATTTAGCATTAATTATGATCACTTTTGATATGTTATATGTAAGCAAATATTTTTTGATAATTGTCTTTTAATCTTTTAATTATTTGAGTCCAAATTTTTTTTTGTTTTATTTTTTTTTTTTAGGCAACTAAAGTATTATATTTTTGTAAACCAAAATTGAAAGACTGATTTTTTGTATAATTTGGACGAAATTACTCTTTTTTTTTTTTTTTTGATATATTAAATAATTGAAATAAAGTAAAATCAATCTTACT